GCTCTGCTCCACCTGCCCCCAAACCCCCCCTTCCAGCCCCCACAGGCAGCCTGGAGGGTGCCAGGGGATCCCAGGGATGGCTCAGGCCCACGGGGAGGAAGGATTCCAAACCAGGAAGGAGCAGAGGTGTAGGTGGGGATGTGGAGAGATACCAAGACAGTCCCCGTGTACCCCGGAGGAAGGAACCCCACAGCACCCTGCCCAGAGCATGTGCATTGCTTAACTGTATGTTTCTGCAAGGATTTTTTTATCCTTTATTTCCCTCCTAATGCTGCATGGTGCACATCCTCTGCCTCACCTCGCTGCTGCTGCTGCTGTGTGACAGCCTCTGTGTGAATGTGACAGTGACACACCTTGTTTGTTCTTCGTTAACACACCCCCAACCCCCCCAGAACTGCCCCTGGCAAATCACGAATCTCCAACACAGGAAGACTTAGCCAAAGGAATGAGATCCATCCGGGCCTGGATGTTTTATATTAAGACTCCTCTCAGGTTTTCATCTGGTTTTGGAGGTTTCTTTCCGCTGTGCTCCCTCCCTCAGCAGCTCTGTGTTGGTGGAGTGCTGGGAGCGGGATCCGATCCATGGGCTTCCCACTCACAGGGCGGGGAGGGAGGTTGGCTGATGGTCAGGGAATGAGCTGTCCCAGTAACGTGTCCCCAGAGGGAATCCTGTAATCTAGTGTTTTAATCCTTTCCTGCTATCCTTTGAATGCTGGCATGTCCCCAGCTTCCCCCTTCCCATGGGCACCGGGGATTTCCTGCAGCTCACTCAGGGACGAGGCCGGGGCTGCCTGGATTAAATAGTTCACGAGTAGGAAACGTGTAAATACTGCTGCCTGCTCCCAGGGAGGGTGCAGCATCGCTCCCAAACTCGTGCATTTCTCTGCCCAAAGAGGAGGATGGATTTTTTCTTCTTTTTTTTACCCCTTTTTTTTTTTTGTTTTATAGAAACCATCGTGGTCCTGTCGCCCCAGTTCTGGGAACAGAGCCTGAGTGGGAAGGTGGCTGTTGCAGCAGCTTTGTCCCTGTCTCTGACAGCACAGGGTGATGCTGTGACGTTCTCCAGCCCCTTCCCCTCTCAGGGGGTTCTCAGGGGGGTACCATGGACCTTCCCCCTCACCCCAAAATAGGCATCTCCCCAGGACAGAACAAACAAGCTGGGCCTTTGCTCTGCCTTACCCGCCCTGCCCGCTGCCTCTTCCTATGGCTACAGGCTCCCCCTGCTTCCCTCAGCACCACCCTGCTTCTCCTGCCCTTCTCACCCCCATTTCCCTGTCCTACCCCCTTCTCCCAGCCCTTTTTCCCCATCCTGTCCCCTTCTCCCAGCCCTTTTTCCCCGTCCTGCCCTCTCTCCCACCCCGCCCCATTTCGCACGTCCCTTCGCACTCCCGGCAGCCTCCTGGTGAATTTATGGGAGCCCCATCTGCTCAGCGAGGAGAAGAGGGGGCTGCCCCCCTTTAGGGGTGCCTCTGCACCCTAAAAAAGGAGAAACAGGGCTGCAGGTAGCAGTGGGGGAGGCCCATCCCTCCCAAGCCTCCCCCCAGCTTTCCACAGCACGGCTTAGCAAAATCAATGGAATGAAGTCACCAAATCCAGGGCAAAGCTGTTCAGCCACAGCTCCATCCTTCCCCCGTGGCCTCCCAAGGACCGTGTGGCCTTTGTCCTGGGGCCAAAGTGGTGTTTTGAGGCTGAAAACCAGAGAATCTGTTCTAGGGAAGGGCCTCCTCCCAGATGTTGAGGCAGGGCCTGCCAAAACTTGGCCCGTTGCTGCAGCAGATTTAGGAAAGGGGACCTTGCTCAGCTCGGTGGTGCCTCGTTGCTTGGTAACACTTTTAGGAGGTGGAGCTGAAGCCAAACTGGGTTTGAAGCATCAGCCTTATTTTTTCCTATAACTCAAGGCATCGGGAGCGGAGCAGCCCAGTGACTGCTGCTTGTCCTTCCCTGGAAAACAGTCTATCCCTCTGCTTCCCACTGCTCCCAAACATCTTCCCATCCCTCGAGCTCGCTCCCCTCCCACAGCCGTGAGGGCAGTGGGTGAATTCCACACAGTTCACCTCCTGCAGGCAGCCAGAGCACCCAGCTGGGAGCAGGGGGGTGAGACCCACGGCTCAGCCCGAGGTTATCCCCGTCCTCCCCGGGGCACACGCAGCAGGCAACCCTCTCTCTGCTTCTCTGTCCTTCCATCGGATCAATCTGTGTGGCGAGGAAGGGACACTCCCCCTGCACCCCGAGGGAGTTCCCTTCCACCCTCCTCTCCACCCGCTGTCACCTCTTTTCTCTTCCCTCTGGCCCGTGGTTTGGCAGCCCCGGGGCTGGGGGAGCGTGGGCTCTGCGTCGCAGCCATGATGTCGGATCACTCACTGTCACTCTGTTTTTGTTTCTTTTTTGTTTTGTTTT